CTACAGCAGCAGCAGCAACAGCAGCAGCAGCACTCGCACCCGCCCGCACATGCGCACCACGCCTCGCATCACCACCACCACCACCACAACGCGGGGGCCGCCGCCGCCGCCTTCCTGCGATATATGCGGCAGCCCATCAAGCAGGAGCTGATCTGCAAGTGGATCGAGGCCGAGGCGCCCGGCGGCGCGCCGCCCTGCTCCAAGACGTACAGCACGATGCACGAACTGGTCAACCACGTCACGGTGGAGCACGTCGGGGGTCCCGAGCAAAGCAGCCACGTGTGCTTCTGGGAGGAGTGTCCCCGCCAAGGGAAGCCCTTCAAGGCCAAGTACAAACTCATCAACCACATCCGCGTGCACACGGGCGAGAAGCCTTTCCCTTGCCCCTTCCCGGGATGCGGCAAAGTCTTCGCCCGCTCCGAGAACCTCAAGATCCACAAGCGCACTCATACAGGTGGGTGGCCGAGAGGCTGGCGAGGGATCTCTGGTGGCGTCTCTCCGCCCGGAGTCCTGGGCTTGCTTCCTTCCATCATTCCCTCCCCCTCCTACTTCCTTCCTCTTTTTCTTACGTAGATCCAGACATGTGACTTTTGTCATGAATAAGTAATTTCCTGAGCGCCCGCGCTCTTCGACTGCAAACGAGCGAGAGCCTCCCTTGATGCATCTGTTGCTGTGTATATCTGCATTTTGTTATAGATTTAGTGGTATAATTTGCAGCGCCAGCTGCTCTTCTGGGAACAGCAAGCAGGCTTCCCAGCTCCAGACTTCTTCGGCAGGAAGACAAGGGGTACCGTGATTGTTTAGAAAGCAAACACGTTTTCAGGAAAGGGAGAAGACCAAAGGCCAGGGTGGCCAGTTCCTCTGTCCTTTAGGGAATAAAGGACACCTCCCCGGCCACACCATTTATCTTTTTTTCTCCCCATTCCCTGGTCAAAACCCTATTTGGTTTTCTTGGTTTAAGTATGAAGAGTAAAAGGGTTTGTGTTTTCCAATCGGAATTTTGCAGGAACAATTGTTTTTTGTTCTGGAAGGCTTTCACGGTGGGGATCCAATGGGTGTTGTAGGTTTTTCGGGCCAAACAGCTCGAGAAACCTACAACAACAATTGTTTTTGTTGACTTGGAAGAGACGAAGGACCCTTTCCCTATGAGTCAGTTCACCAGTATTTGCTTTCTTTTTTCGCGCTCTAAAAGGCGCCCATCTCTTGGAGAAGCCTTTGTTGGTCGCATTGAACAGGATGCGTAGGGGTGGAACGAACTGGAAAACATCTTAAGTACGAGCTTTGACTAAAGCGGCATTTTCTTGCAATTGAGATTTGCAAGACACGCACAGTAACGGTGCGGACTGGAAAGGGGCGCCCAGTGGGTCTCTCTGTGCAGGAGGGGACGGAGGCTCCCTCGGAAGGAGCAGTGGCCATGGAGCTCTGTTACGGCCTGGTGTCTTTTACAAGTGGGGGTTGGATTTGCCCCTGGCCTCTTGGCTTAACTTAAAAGGCCATTGGGATTTATGCAGTTGCGTGTAGACAGATATTATTCGCCGGAGGCTGTTTATGGGGAAGCGGGGAGGGCAAGACAGAAGGGAGGCCTCACCTAATTGTTTTCATGATTTATTGTGTGTTGTGACAAAAAGGAGAAATGTGGACAAGGTGCACCTCCCAATTCAATCGCTAAAGCAAATGGCCTTTGGGGACAAGAGCGATCGATTTTCCGACGGCCCCCGACGCATCTGTGCGTGCACTCAGCGCTCCTGCCTCCTCGGGAGCCCTCATGGCACCCTGTAGAGAGTGGGAGGGGGCCTGTATTTGTCCCGCAGGCACAGAGGATGTACTAATGCGGTTTGCCTGGGAAACTACTTTTGCTCTAGCCTGATGGTGAGATCTTTGAGTCAGTTCTTTGGGGACAGAGCGGGCGAATGAGCAGATAGATGCAGGGATTGGTTGATAGGCCTGCCCCGATGGGAGTTCGCCTCGACTGTGGGGCCAAGCATCAGGATCCGACTCTCCTCGCTTTCTCTGCCAGTATGGCTTTTCTCTCTTCCTTAAAGCTTCCCTTTGAGGATCGGCGTTCTCACGTCCCTGTTGTCCTCTTAATATTTTTGGGTTCGGGATAGGACAATGGTCTATATAGGATGCTTGTTGGGCCAAGGTTCTTCCATGTCTGGGGAGGGGGCTTGATGCTCCAATGGATGACGGGGAGCCACAGAAGCAAGGATAGTTTCCAGTGCCAATTGCAGACAAAGACCCACTAAGAAGATCTATCGGGCCTGGCCTAATGAGGAGTTCTGTGAAACTGAGCAACCTGCGGTGCTTTTTCTGCAACAAAAGTAGGGCGGGCCCTCAGATCAAAACATTTCTAGCCAGGCCCGTTATTTGATGTCATAGTCTTGAAATATCTCCAGCCCACGTCGGGCCGCATCGAGGGGATTGCGCGGGTATCAAATGCACCGTTTTCTCCCCGCCACCCTTCTCAGTTCCGCTTGTCTGCCTTACTCAGAGTAATTTATCCTGCGCTTCTTGTATACACTCTTTTATACACTGTCAAACAGAGGCAGAAAAGTAACCTGTAACACTAGAAGAAGTGGAAATTCACTGGCCCACAGAGTCCTCTCCCTAAATTTAGGGACGCTTTCCCCTACTCCCAGTTGTTTAGCTCGGCCCAATGCCCATAAACAAACAAACAAACAACAAAAAACGGGCTCACTGATTCCTCCAAGTGTGAGAGGAGTCGGACATGGGCGGCTTCTATGAGGCCAACCTTCCTCCATCGCCGGCAAAGGAAAATCTCTCCTTCCACCTACCGGCAGCCAAGCCGGAAGAGGAGCAGGAGAAAGAGGCATTTCGCAGGCAAGATGTTTCAGGTTGCCTTCTGGTTCCTCTTTCTTTCTTTCTTTCTTTCTTTCTTTCTTTCTTTCTTTCTTTCTTTCTTTCTTTCTTTCTTTCTTTCTTTCTTTCTTTCTTTCTTTCTTTTCTTTTCTTTTCTTTTCTTTTCTTTTCTTTTCTTTTCTTTTCCTTTCCTTTCCTTTCCTTTCCTTTCCTTTCCTTTTACGACGAAAAAGCCTTTGGTGCTTCGTGCGGACATTTCCTCTAGTACGAACTCACAATCGTGGCTCACGCCCGAATCTGACGCCATACCGGTAAGCTAAATGCACGACGGATTGTAAAGCCTCACTTTAAAACACCAAATAATGAGGTGGCATCCAGCGTCTACGCGTTATGGGTAATAACCTCTTCTTCTCGAGCTTAAGCACAGGCCCGGGCAGAAACTTGGAGCTAGCTGTGAGGGGTCGGTCGGTTTCTTTCCCTCCCTCACGCTATATATACCGTAGGTGGATATGTTGTCTTCTTTAAGGCTAGCCAGTGGCTCATCTCTCGATCGATCCTGCAAGTTGTTGCCTTCGGAGGATTTAATGGAGTATGTAGTTAATAAAACTACCTGTTAGCGCCGGAGAAATTTCCCTCCTTCGAGGAGGAAAGGAAGCGAACGAGTTTCCTCTTTCTCTCCTCGCTCTCCCGCCGCCTCCTCTTCCATTTGCTGAAACTTTTGGGCTGCCCTTCTCTCGCTTGGCTCTGATAATCTGCAAACGGTTAAACTCTGACGTGGACCTTTCGTTAGAGCCGAGGGCAAAATAAATACTGTAATAAGAAGGCTTCGGGCTTCGGGATATTTAACAGCTGCAAGGAGGGCTTCTTTTCAGGCTAGATCTCCCAACCGAACGCTTTCGTTTTAAAATACTGAAAATAACAAGCATCTCCTGTAGCAGCAACCACGACAATTAAAACCAGCACTGCTTGATGTGAGGTGGTCGCGGAGAGGCTTGGCGCTTCTAAGGAGGTCGCTGGCCCTAAACAACTCAGGGGATACTCCGTCAAAAGATCGCAAACAAAGGGTAGCGATATTCTCTTCCTAACTTTAGAATATTTCATCTGAAATGATAGCGGTGGATTGCTTGGACCCTTACTATCCCAAGTTACTCCGACTTCGGAACAGGTTCCAGTGAGATTGGCAGACACGTTGACTAGTGGCCAGTCAATAGATGTGGCCCTCCAATGTAGATCTTCTTTGTGAGTTATGGTGGTATCCTGTAAATGGTAGCGTTTTGAAGTATTTCAGAGTAGGCAGCATAATTTGGGTTTTGCCCGTGCCAGAAGATGTATCATTTAACCAAACCGGCGGTTAGGAATCAGTATATATGGGGTGTTGCGGGGAGGAAGTGTTTAGGAAAATGTACGGTATAAATTTTAAAAAACCGCGTTTCCTAAATAATGCTGTGCAGGGAGGAGTCGAAGGATGCCGCTAACCGCAATAAATGTGAGGAAGGTCACAGTTACAGATATCTGTGATCTCCAAGCAAGCCTGGTTGAACGATGGGGTGGTTACCTCTGAGAAAAATGGTACCTCAAGTCTTGTTGGCTGCAACAGATAAATTATGGTCATTCCTGATTGGAAATGCATGGAACATTCAGACTAAGGCTGCGATGTTAAGGTCGTCAGGAAAACAAACGAACACTGAAAGGAAAAACAAAAAGAATGCCTAGACATTATGCTAGATATCATTTATATGCCAGGGCAGTCAGTCATGGTGGTGGCGGCGAGGGGATTGTTTGTTTTGTTTAATTTTTTGAAATATAGCAGCCCATCACCCAACTCCTGCCTGGTGTCCTAGCAACAGGAAATATTGTCGCCTTTTCATTTCCAGAACCCTTGGAAAAAGAGTTCTTACTGGAGAGAGAGAGAGACAGAGATGTCTGTGTAACAAACCCTAGTATTGCATTAAGCCCCGGAGCCAGTGAGGCTTAAAGGTATGCCTGATCAAGAGGCCCGAGGGTCCCTTTCACTATCCCCCCCCTCTCTCTTTCATGCACACATTTCCTGCTATGCTGCTCACTAAACCCATCTAGGCAGATCCGAGATGGGTTTCTCTGTGTAAGTTAGCCCCAGGGAAAGAGATCTGGTGGAGCACTACATAGATGGCTTTTCTTAGGGCCTATTTCCTTTGGAATGGCTAATTTCCCCAACAAGGGGCGGGTTGTAAAGCAAAACCTGACAAGAGAGTGTTGGCGCTCCCTCTTGGAAAACAGTGATCTGCTGAGGTTCTAAAAAGAAAGGGGAAGCGATGTGTTTAAACAGGTGTTCCATTTTTGAAAAAAAAAAAGATGACTGGCCTCTTGCAAACCCCTTGGAAGGGATTATGACAAGATGGGTTTGTCTGGAGACAAAGCCACATCCATGAATTTCCAATTAACACACCCCCCCCCACACACACACACAGATCTATCCTTTAAATATTTTTCATTTGCAAGTGTATTTTTGGCATGGGATAAGAAAGACATTTCTATTGTCCTGGAATTTATTTGAAATTGATGCTGTATTCTATCATATTTAAAGAGTGTTTGTTAGCAACATGGACTGTGTTTTGGGACAAATCTAAACCTACCTAATCTTACCTGCATGTTTATAAAATTACCCTGAGAAACTGTCAGAGGCTGATGAGGGAGAGTAAAAAATCCTCCTGCGCTGCAGATAATGACTAGTTTTATAGCCCTTTCGCCCTGTCTCCACTACTGTGTTTGGTCTGACATGTAAATACAAAAGTTTTATTTCTTCCTTCCCTTTTACAAGAAGACCCATGACAGATGTTTTTTCTCTTTCAGGGGAGAAGCCTTTTAAATGCGAGTTTGATGGCTGCGACAGGAAGTTCGCCAATAGCAGTGACAGAAAGAAACACTCCCATGTCCATACCAGTGACAAGCCATACTTCTGCAAAGTTAGAGGCTGTGACAAGTCCTATACACACCCAAGCTCCTTGCGCAAGCACATGAAGATCCATTGCAAATCCCCTCCACCTTCTCCTACCCCAGGATCTCATGGGTACCAGCCCACAGGGACACCCCTGGGTGCCCCATTGTCCCCTGTCCAGGACTCCGGTAGGGGCCGTCCTGCCAACCTTTCTCCTCAGGTTACCAATCTCAATGAATGGTACGTCTGCCAGGCTAGCGGGGCACCCAACCACCTCCACACACCATCTAGTAATGACACGTCTTCTGAGGAGGAAGAGGAGGAGGAAGAGACTTATAGGAACTCTGAGACAAGAACTATTCACTAAGATAGCGAGACAGGGAGAGGGAGCTGTCGGGGATGGCACTTGGCTGCCATCTTGGTTAACTCGGACTATTTATTCAGTATATGAAACCCTATGGTGTTTGTACTTGTAACTAATTTAATTAAGACATTGGACTTGCCTCTTTTTTTAATTTTATGAAAAAATGAAAAAGACGAATCTTTTTCATGAAGAAGAATCTTTTAGAAACCCATCCACATGGACAGCAACAGTGATACAGCCCTTATATTTTCTTTTCCCCACCTCTAGGTATTGTCGATTGGGTACATTCATTAAATTGGTTTCCCAAAGTAAAAGCTGGATTGTGGCTTATGAATGTCAGTGAGGAGCTGGTAGTCTTTCTCTGTGCCAGATGTAGGCTGTCCAAGCTTGCACACCTATTTTGAAAGGTATATTCCCCTAGGCCTCTGTCCCATAATTGTCACCTTTGGAACTTCTCTCTTCCTCTCTCTCTCTCTCTCTCTCTCTCTCTCTCTCTCTCTCTCCTCCCTCCTTGAATCTCAAAACCAAGTGCCAAAAGGTAGCCTTTGGGATTACATTTCCTATCATATACTAAAAAATAAAGTCCAGATTTTCTCCACTCCTAGCCTTCAGAATGTGTCCTTACAAATCAGTACTAAATACATTTGCTTACATGGAAGACTGCGCCATTGTTTTAAATGGAAGTCACTTCCTGCTAAATAAACTTGGGTGGGGAGTAACAGGCTCCTTGAGCAGGAGTTCACAAACACTGTTGAATAGTATTCTTGAGGTTTCTTTTGCCCAGCTCAACAAGTAGTCCTAAACATGTTTATTCGGAATAAAGTTTGACTGCAGCCTCCCTTCCTTTCATCTTTCTCATATATGTATTTTAAAACTTTCTACACTTGTAAGTGTGAAACTGGGGAGAAACAGAAACAGCCAGTTACATCTCAATACAAATGCTGCAATTTGAAAAAAATGTATTTCACAAATCCTGAATCCTTTTGTTCCAATACTTGTAGACTTACATACTTATGAGTGTCTTACCATGATTGATGCATTGGCTTGCTAAATGCACAGTTTTGTCTTTATATGGTACATACCAGAGACCACAAGAATCTGGACATACTATCTTGTGAAGCAGTCACACTGAATCAGAGTAAATTGGATTTATAGGTAAACAGTATTTGGGACTGAAGCCCAGCCTATAATGTTAGGTCAAAAGTGCTATGAACTCCCCAGCTGCTATGTTAAAGTCTCCCTACTAAAAGAGTGAACAATGCTAGAGTGACACATTTTCTGGGGGGGAAAATTGCTAGTCAGCTTTACACCTGTAACCTGTAAAAAAGACTTAAAATTACTTCTGTATTTCCCCCCAGCTTCTGAAATCTTGTTCATATGCACTGGAACAATGACCAAAGTGTATTAAGGGTTTGTTTTTGTTTTTATAAAGAAAAACCAGTTGTCATAAATATATAAAAGCAGAAGTGTAGAGTGGGGAAATGCCTAGTAGATTACCATTGGCCTTGCTGCCCACGTGTTAAAGTGAGAGGTCATAAAGAATGATGGCAAATTTTGATGCAGTTGGTACCACACATTTCACATGCAAAGTAACCAATGCCCTAAAGATAATCTAAAGAGCACTGATTTATACTCAGAGACCACTGAATAAGTATCCGGTCACCTACCCATTCCTAGGGTTTGTAGAAATGTATGCAGATTATTTTATTTTAGTTTTTGTTTTTGTTTGGTGTCTGTATTGTGATATGTAGTCTTGCTATTGTTAAAAACTGTATGTGGAAGTGATTTATTTTGTACAGCTGAATTAATTTATTTTTTTATTTTTAGATCTCATATCCCCCTCCCTGTTCTTTTTTTCTTTTTGAAGATTACAGAACACACACCAAAGAAGAATATTATTAATTTTGGTGATAGGTTGTCTATAATTCTGTGGTTGTTTGGGAGGGAAAGTCATTTATATTTTTCAAGTTACTTGAATGAATAACGTAATGTGAAAAACAGGTCCTTCCTGCATGTCTCCTGTGCAGTGTGTTGGTGATTCAATATAGTTTATAGAGATATTTGTTTCTTAGTACAGTGCATGGTGCTGTCCATTTGGAAGCCTTTAAATGTCCTGGTCATATTGTTATATGAAGACAAAAAAGGGCATTCTTTTTAATATCTATATTGATAAATATATAAATGAGAACTTGAATACAAACCACTTTTTAATTATTTTCTTTCTTCTTTGAAACCAATTCAGATAATAATAATAATAAAAGTTACAGTGGAGTAAAACATGGATTTTTTAAAGGATAATTTATGGGTCTGTGATCTTTTGTTTTAGAAATATTTCTGATTTTAAAATAATTGATTAATTTATACATTTTATTCTTCCCTCTCCCCAAAAAATAGATTGCACTATCCATTATACACCCTTCTGGGGTTTTTTAAAAAAAATGTGAAATTAACCCTTTCAAGGAAAAACATTTACTGGGGAGCAAATGGTTCGAACAGACTTACATCCAAATATATTTGTTTATAATTTGGGAGTGCCAGGAGTAACATATTGTTTGTCTACTGTGCTACAGCTTTTCTCACTTATTTTAAAAACATACAATACCTCCATATCTGTAAACCTGGTCATACAAAAGCAAGAATGGTTACGGTAAAATAAAAATATTATTCTTGTACCAAATGTGTGAATTACTGTGTGTGTGAGGAAGAAATCAAAAAGACAGATGGAATCTCATCCTTTTTGCTGTAACTGAAAGGGCTGGATTAGGAGAATGAGGGTGCAATAGTTTTCACCTGCTTGGATTTAAGAAATTATTTAGTATAGAAGCACGAAACTATTTTAAAGGTCTGTCTCCACGCTAGTATGACAAAAGAGGCTCTGATATGATTTAACCTTACCCATGAGTGTGTGACAACGTTTATACACTGTGTAAAGGTAAAACTAATAACAGTTCCTGTTTTGACTCCTGAACGTGATAGAGGAAGGAAGCTAGGTAGTAAGTACAGTGATGAACCCTCTCAAAAGAGTGTCTTAATAGGCTGACAGTCCAGATTTGGTCCACCGGCCAAAGCGCCTGGCATCTTAAGGAGCGCTTCGTGAGCAGAGGCAGGCGGCTGAGTCAGACCGTTGGCCCATTCTAGCCCAGGAATGCCAGCTCTGGCTGGCAGCAGCTCGCCAGCGTTGGAAGGATTCTCTTTCCCCGCCCTGCTTTCGAGACAGTTGGTGGTCTTCCCTCTCATCTACGACAAAGAGGCGTGATCGTGCTTCTCAAATCAGAAGAGATCGGGTTTGCTCAGGGCCGTTGTGCATCGCTCCTGTAGTCTTTCTAACAAAGACAAAGAGATAGCAGTGACAGACGTGGTGCATACTACTACTTTGCGTTTCAAAGTGGGAGGTCTAAGTATCTAAAAAAACAATCTCTTGTGCTACAATGCCGTCAGAGCAGACTGGATAAGTGTAGGAACGATTACTCCAGATCGCGAAAAATATTACTGTTGGGGAACAGATGTTTCTTGTCGCACACGCAGATGTGCGGACACACTATAAGATGCAAAGTGTTTGTGGGAAGTCTGCTGAAGCAACGCAAGCCTCTTCTCCCGCCGCCCCCCCCCCGCCCCCACGTTTGAATCCCTGCAATGCCGCCGTCGCTTTCCCTCGTTCTCCTCTTATGCCACTTCCTAAATACAAGAGCCGGGACCACGCCTCAGCATCACACACCCCCCCCCCAAGCAAACGGGTTGCTCTGCTCTGGGAATCACCCCAGTTAAACGCCCCGAAAGGGAAACAGGTTGCAAAGAGTGCTTTCAAGGAAGATGAAGAATGAGGGCCATTCCGGGCTGGAGACGGGGAGGGGGAGAGTGATGGGTGGAGTCGGGGGAGATGTGAGAGGAGATGAGCAGCACTTCAGTCCGGGGGGTGTGTGGAGCGGGGTGCGGTGGCGACGTGAGGTGAAGGCCCTGCGGCTCTTAAGTGGAGTTTCTGGTGGAAAAGAGGGCGACACCCAGCCCTGCCCCCTCCATATGAATCATTCATGGAAAATATATCAAAGGTAAAAGATAGCTGACAACGAGGAGCCCACCGCACGTCACAACCCCCCCCCCTTGTTTGCGGCTTTCGAGCCCCGGCATCCCCCCTTGCCCGCCCTCCCTCTCCACCGCCCTGTCTATCGTATTGAAATTGACCAGGGCGCGTCTTGCCCCACTTCAAAGTAATTTGGGCCAGAACGGAAGGCTCGGCGCTTGGACAATCTTCATGGTGCGTTAAGATTTCTATGGCAATTGGCAAGCAAGACTTTTCCCATCTGAATCTGGCTCAAAGGAAAAGCCACTTACTGACACGAGGTTGGCCATCTTCAAAGACTTCATCGCTCCTAGGCAGGGGGAGAAAAGCGCTCGGAGACAAACAAGACTTAAATCAGCCGTGATCTACTTTTGTCTTAGTTACCGGTCGGGGATCCGTGTGTGTTTGGAAGCGGGGGGAGGGTTGGATTTTAGGGGACGGGGTGGAGGGCCCTACATGAAGCGTGAAGTTAACAGTTGTGATCTCCCAGGGACTTAGAGTAGTTTGTCTTTTCTCCGTGTGGTGTGATTACCTAAAATTGTTTTCTTTTTAAGGGACGGCAGAGAGCGAAGAACCGCGCCTGAAGCCTGAGTGAAGCTTTAGAGCCCGAGCAAAGTGGCAGTCTGACATTTCACCTAGGGCGACGCGAACGCGTGTATCTACTTGGGCGCCACCAATTGCCCGGGCACTTACCTCCAAGTAAGGCTCGGACTGGTTCACCCGCTTACTTGAAATGAATCCCGTAGAGTTCAAGGAAACCTGATTCACGTGCTTAGGAACTGGAGAGCGCTTGGGAGACCCGCCCAGCCTTGCTCTACGGCAGGTGAATAAAGATGGCATAGGAGCTCAGCTGAGCTCTAGACGCATATGCCATGTAGATACCCCACAGACTGATATTTTTCTATGTAAAACTATAGCACCCACTGATTTGCTCTGTCAATAGGCCGTCCTAAATGTAGCGCCCCAGAACTTTATCACGCACGAAATGTTTTTAGGACGTTCTATTTGAAGCACAAAAATATGGTAATAAGACATGCACGTGAGGCTTAGTTCTTGCACGGCGGTTCCAGGGGTATTTTGCACCTAGCTGATTCAGGTAGAAAACTTAAACTTTGTTGCTTGGTCCCCGATAGGTTAGAATCCAATATGTGAATGAACCCAGCAGAAGACAAATGAGTTTTAAGTACTGTAATAGGAATCCTCTCCTTTGTTTTTTAGCGTCTCTCCCAGCAGAAGACAAATGAGTTTTAAGTACAGTACTGTAATAGGAATCCCCTCTCTTCTTTGTTTTTAGCGTCTCCGATGACACTCATGGAAGCTGTTTGCTGATCCATCAGGTGAAAAATTGAACGGAGAAGAGGTTGCCCATTACAAGATAAGAAAGAGGTTGGGTGCACAGACATATACACCTGAGGGGTTGCATAAACG